ATTGAATAGTTGAAGTTCAATTATTTAATATATTGTATAGTTGATGTTTAATTATTTAATATATTGAATAGTTGAACTTCAACTGTTCCATCCATTGAATAATTGAACTTCAACTATGGTCAACTGATGTGTATACTTAGTTTGAGATTCGGAGAAGTCGAAAAAAAGAAGGATTTAACTTTAAAAGTTTGAATCTAGACTTCAGAAACGAAATAAGAAAAATTCCATACGAACTAGTACTACAACGAACTAAATGATAAAAAGTACTATGACACTGTAAGTAATACGAAGCACTGTGCCAGTGTAAGTAATAAAAAGTGCTATGAAAGCGTAAGAAACGCAAACACAGCACTTACCTTTTGCTTGCTTAATTTACAATATTTACCAACGAAAACCGAAATTATCAACAATGTTCGTCGCTTTTATACCGTCAGCTCTTGCTCTTATTTTCTTGCTCTATAATTTTTAGCTTATCGCCTACTAATTTCTCTCTCTTTCTTTCTCTCCCTTATGCTCTCACTCCTCTCTCCTATTTCCTTTCTCTCACTCGACTATCTTTGTCTCTTTTTTTTCACTCTCTACTCATTCTCTCACTTTTTCTCTCCCTGATTTTTTCTCTCCGTGATTTTTTCTCTCCCTGATTTTTTCTCTCCCTGATTTTTTCTCTCCCTGATCTTGAATAGACCGATCAAAACACGAGGCTTTTAGAATAAGCCTTCTGCCCACTGGAATACAATAAGAAAAAGATCACGAAAAATGCTCATACTCATCTATGATGCAGAGCTCAACATTGTACAATTTGAACTATAATGTATAATTAGGATAAAATCTGGACTTTGGCTTTTAGGTTATTTTAATATGAAAGCAGCAAAAATTTGAATTATAATTCATAACTACCAAAAAACTTTGGCTACTTCTATGTAACATGAGTTAAAATCTGCATTATAATTTATAAATGGGGTAAAATTTTCCCTTTGAGTTTTTGGACTAGTATTATGAAAACTCCCCAAAACTTGAATTAAGATTTATAACCATGCTAGAATTCTCGTTCGCACTTTGTGGGCTACTTTGGTATCAAAACAGTCAAAATTTCAATTATAATTTATAACTGGAATCAAATTTTCGCTTTGGCTTTTTAGGGTATCATTAATATGAAAAGCTGTTAGCGCAATCCCTTGCGGGATTAAAAATGTGAAACACGATATACCCACTTTAAATGATGAAGCAAAACTTTTGTTTTGTAGAAGTAATGGATGTGATATTCAATTATTTGAGGATTTTACATCTTTTTTTTATAAGACTCTGCGTAATAAAGTAACAACACTGTACAGAATTAGTCTGTAGACAGTGTATAGAATTAATACGAACATTTTAATTAATTTTTAATTTTCCGAGCAGTTTACATGAATTTTTTTTGTAACAAAAAAAAATAGAGGAAGAGTGTAAGTTTTTATTTGGTGAGCTTTAGTATTTTTTTATGAGAATACTACACTTAATTGCGTTGAACAGTTATATGTAACGGCTCGATGATAAACGAACAGAAATCATCGTGTATCTCAATCCGATACGAATGAGTATAGTGATACTATTGATTTAAACTTTATATAAAGCAGCGTAACAGATATGAAATTGTTGACTGATTTGTGATGCTTTAAGATAATCATGAAGTTAAGTATTTATCTATGGAAGAAAATGTAACAATCTATATGAACGATCAGATCCACGGAAATAATGGAACGAATATTTGAAATAACATAAACATCTAGATACGAAAAATGGTGGAATATGAAAATAGAAAAAGATATATATTATTTCTTAAAGGGTTAGGAATTTAAAAATGCTTAGTTTTATTCGTGTTTGAGAAAATTTATCCGATTATTTTAGATATTGTTTAATGCAATAGTATTTATATGCATAGTTTTTGGATTAAAGTTAATTAAAATGTTCATCGAAGATAAGGTTAGTAATACATCTTCATCTTCGAGCAAATCGTTTTGACAAAGTTCTTCATGATTAGATTGTTATAATAAAACTTGAATTTTTGATCTTTCAATAATGAATTCAAAGATATTATGATTAATATCTCTTATATCAAGTTTTATTTGATCTTGTTGAATTGAGTCTTCTAAATACAATGATCTCGATTTACACGTCAAACATTTAATAGTCTTGCCATGACATTCAACATCAGTTGAATGACACTTTGGACAAAGACAAGGCTCCTTGATTAATCCGATTGATGTTATTGAACCGGCTATTGATGATTCTTGTACGATGTTAAGAGAATCGCAAGACACAACATCAACGATGTTATTGATAGACTCAAATCTAAAAAATATTTTTATAGATTTTGTTAGAAATATACATTAACAGATATTTGTCAATGTGGAAGGTGTTTATAAATAAAGAAAAATGAAGATAAATAATAGAGAAGCTCACATTGTATGTGTTGTCGTTGTTAGAGATATTTCATCATTAAATATTTTTACTTTTGCTAATTTGATCAAGTAACATTGATCCTTTTCTATAAATGTAAAATTGTTCTCTGTAAGATACTGCACTAAATAAAAAAAGAAGATATAAAGGTCAGTGAGTTCGTTTCACGTGCAATATCTGACTGAATGTTTATTCTATATAATAAAGAGAGAGAGAGAGAGAGAGAGAGAGAAACAACAAAACAAAAAAAGAGAAAAGGAGGACGTGTTATAATGAGTGGACAAACAATAACAACAAAATAATAATAGAGGTCAGGTCCTAACACTCTTACCCCCCAAAAGAAGTTTTTCGAATAATGAGAGAAAAACTTTCAGAAAAAAAGGATCAAATAACAAATGAAAAAGAGTAACTTTTATGTAAAAGAAAAATAAATATCGAAAATAAACAATATCTTTTCTAAATATTGTTTTATGCTTATTACTTGATCAAAAACGACTAGATTGATAATTGATGTTGACTCGCAAATACATAGGAATGTACAGATCCATTATTAGTATTATATTGTCCGATATATTTAATGCATAATTTTTTCACATATTCTTAAATTCCATACATCACATGAACCATTTATTAAACCAATAATTAACATTTGTGATGAATAAAATAATTTATTAAAGAATTGTTCATCAGATAAACATGTTGTTGTAAATACATTTGTACCGATTATAATATCAACTACTGTAATTGTTCTTGATGATATATATGCAAGAAAAAGACCATCAGAACGTAATGATAATAACAAAATAGGTAATGATGATGATGTTAATGTTAATTGTTTTAATATTTCTCCAGTTTGAAACTTATATATATATATATTGATCCATAAGCATAAGATGAATCGAATGTAATATCATATCGCATATGAATAATTGATGATAAATGATAATTTGTTTGAAATATATATTTATCATTATGAATAAAAATAAGATTTTCTAATGACCATATACGTAAAGTTTCATCATTTAATAATATATATAAAAGTGTTGTTGTTGATCGATTTGTTATATATAAATCTGCTATAATATCATCATATAAAACTTGTGATAATAATGATGTTTCAACACGAACACATGAGAGAAAAAAAAAAGACAATAACAAATAAAAAAACTTTAACTAAAAGAAAAAAAGACAACATAATAACAAAAATAAGAAAAAAAATTTTTTTTTGTTAATGTCCTTGTCGACGATATTGTTGATAATGAAATTTATCAAATAAATCACCGGGTATTCGATCAAAATATAAGTCCACTAAAGATGATTTTTTCATTCCAATTGATAAAATTCGTGAAGATTTATCGAGTTTTGGATGAACATATCGAACATCACGAGTACGAAGGATGTTCTTGATCTGACGGAGGTTGAATCGATGATAAACTTTACGATAAATAATATGTTGATCCCGATATAAACGTAACACCTTGTTGTGTTTTCGATTACGACGTGTTCGTGCAGCTGCTGAACGACATGTTCGACGTGGTCGAGGTGGTTCATTAAAAGATAATTGTGGATGTAATGAAATAGAATCTATAATATCATCACCAGGTATTGTTGCATGATGAGTTTCAACATTTTCAATGGTATTAGCTGGTGTTTCTGGACCACGTTGACTAGAAAGAAATGAAATAAATATTTCATCATTTTCTTTACTTTCATCTTCCGAAACATCTTCTAATAAAGTTGATAAACGTAATGATGATGAATGAAGTGGAGCATTTGAAATTGGTAAAGATGTTGATTCTGTTTCATTTTCATCTTCAGAAATATTTTCCAATAAGGTTGATGAAGAATGCGGTGGAGCATCCAAAGTAAATAAAGATATTAATTCTGCTTCACGAAGTTGAGTTAATGACCATTTATCACAAACTGCTTGATGTAATAAGGTGACGGCAAAGCAATCATAAATTGCATAATTAATACGTTTACGTCGTTCATATGATGATAATGGTGAATAATTTGGATCTAACATAATACTCCAATTTTTCTTTGTTGATGATTTGTCGAGAAAACGATTAATAGTATAACGAATCGCATTTTGTAGTGACCATTTGTCCGACGGATTAACATAAGGAGATTTGTTCGAACAGGTACATGAAGATTTCGAAGACATAGCCATAGTCGATGATTGACTCGGGCTACAAACCTTACAAGAAGGTTGTGCCATTCGATACCAACCAGGAAATTCATCTTGCATATCGAATAATAATGCAAGGTACTGGCCACGTAAATAAATTCATTTCAACAGCAGATTTTAGTTCTTCGGACATCGGTCCCCAAGAAAAGATAATATTTCCTAAACGAAATAAAAGACTAAATAATAATTTAATTTTGCCCATTAATAATGAATCTGATGGAGGTAGATGATTAATTTCAAATAATACAATAAATGATGGTAAATGTTGAGGAATCGAAAGAACTTGAATAAGAGATAATTCATATGTAAATCGATCTGATTCAATATCAATTGAATATCTATAACATGATTCGAAATGCTTAATTAATGTTGAGATTGTATCAATGGTAGTAAATCGATGGACATGTACAATATTGTAAAACGATGATGAAATAGTAAATGGAAGATAATTACGTCGATAATCATGATTTTGTTCTTCTAAACGGATACTACGACGATGGCGACTTTGTGCTTTACTACTTGAACCACGTGACGATTCCATTCGATTACGACTAGATGAGTGAGAACGAAAGGACATAACAGTAAATACACAAGCAACAGAAAGGAAAGAAAATCAATGATAACAAATAAAGTTGTATGACCATGTATATCACTATCGAAAAAAAGTGGGGAAAAAGATGAAAGAACAGAAAGGAAAAGGTAAATTCAAATCAACAGAATCTTCTTATAGCTAAGAATAAATAGAAAAGAAAAAAAATATATAGAAACAGATAGAGGGCGTAAACGTAAACGTGAACAGTAAAAGTAAACGTACAATAGAAAAAAAATTAATGTAAATCAATAGCTATAGGTTAAAATAAAATTGTTTTATGATAATAATATCGGACGTATGTCATTCACATGTACACGAGTAATTTGATTATTTAATTGATCTCGGGGTGTGGGTGTAGGGCATGGGTATGGAGAAAGAGAACACCCACACACCCACCCACACCCACACACCCGCCCACACCCACACACCCGCCCACACCCACACACCCACCCACACCCACACCCACACACCCACACCCAATCGGATTTGCCGCCGGTCGAGTCTCTTATGACATTTTTTTCGTCATTCCTCTCTCTCTCTCACTATTTCGCTATCTTTTTTGTCCTGTCTCCATTTATTTCTCTTTTTCGTATCGTTATACGTTCGTCTGATTTTTTTCTTGTATACGCGTTTTGCCGCGATGCATCCAGTTGTAAGCGCATAAATCGAGCGTTCATAGGGAGTCAACTAACCAAATCCGTAGGAGCGCGTTGTTCTTCCGCCTATGTGTGATCCGAAACCAGTTCCAATTCAGTGAACTTTAAGTAAGCGAGAGAAGTTACCATTACGTTGCCGAGTAACCAATAACCTTGAAATTACTAGTCACTGGATACCGGAAACTCTACCTTACTTGGTAACGGTAACGAATATGTTTTGTCCTTAATACGTTGTTGTGTATATGATGTTTATTTCAAGACTATGATTACATTCACACAGCCCACACACTTATGTAGAAGGCATATATTTTCGAGAAGATGGAATATACCGAGGATATTTATGATACAGTTGGGATATATCTAAGTGACAATATGAAAAATACCTGATAGAAAGAAAGAGAACGAACACGCATATGTTGTAGACAAAATTAGAATTCGAGTAGAGATAAATTCATGCAATCAAAACAATTCAAGTCTGAATAGAATAATTTTTTTTATTCAAGAATATCTAAATAAGGGAATTTACTGTTACCGTTGGTTATTGTAACGGTCATTGGCCGTTATGCTCACTTATCCTATATTATATTCTCTATGTGTTATGACCTATTCACCTAGCACTGACCTTTTGTCTTTATCCATGTCTCCCATGTGTGACCGCTTGACCTCTATCTGCGCCTATATAATACGCATGTATGAAAAAATAAGATACAATTGAAATGGTGACCTAGTCCAATAAACATCGTGCTGAATGGCACAGACAGACATTCATTTCCATTTGTCGCAACGGTTATGTTATCATGTAGTTAGTAAAGTACAAGTTATTAGTTCTTGAGTGCCTGGTAAACAGTATCTTCCACGTTACTAGCTATCAAGTCAGGGTAACGTTAGTAACTATAATCGATAATCTCAAATTTCTAACTTGAACAAGGAACTAGAAATCACTTATATATTCGATTTCTCAACCCCGAAAACCTTTAACTAAAACTTTAGAAAACATCGATATTTTTCTTCAGGCTAGAAAGTTTGCGTTATCCGTGCAGTTATTAGACAATGGATCGTTACTGTTATTTGGTAGTGTAACTACTGAATAGCAGTAAATTCCTTCGTTTAGGTATTCATAAACCAAAAAAAAATATTGTTCTATTCAGATTTTAATTGTTTTGATTGCATGAATTCATCTCTACTCGAATTCTAATTTTACCTAAGCAAAATTGATTCACAATATATACGTAGTTTGATATGGATTTTTTATTTTTCTTGTTCTAATTTATCTATACAATGGATATTCATAATGATTTATCAAGTTCGCATAAAGGTAAATGATCCTTACACTTTAAATACTAGATCAAACACATGTATTAATTTTAAAAAGTTGAAATTATTTGTTATTGTTTTGATAAAAAATTAGAAAATAATCAATCACTGCTAGTGATTATATTTTTTATTTATACGGTACAATAAATTTCAAGTGTTATTACCGTTCTTTTTTTTGCTAATGATTATTGTTATTATTCTTTGAAATTTTTTTTGTTTTACCTAGGACATACAGAAGTTAATCAACTTGAAGATTTATCTATGAATGATTCACCATTACCAGATAGTACACGAACACATATAATTGAACTAGCACACAATGGCATGCATCTATGTGATATAAGTCGTTGTTTACGAGTATCAAATCACTGTGTATCAGAAGTTTTAGCACATTATTATGAAACAGGTTCAATCAAACTACCTGTTATTGAAGGTTCAAAATCTCGTGTAGTAGAAGCTGATGTTGTGGAAAAAATAGTTCAATATAAATGTGAAACACCATCCATATTTGCATGGGAAATTCGTCTTCGTCTTTTAGTAGAAAATATTTGTAATTCAGAAAACATTCCAAGTGTATGTTGTAATTTAAGAAATTATTTTGAAGAAAACATATAAACTCATGCATTTTCTATAGGTATCATCAATAATTCAAGTTTTAAGAAATCTTGAATCTAAATCAATAGATACAGAAACATCATCAAATACTTATTTAACAAGTGGAGATTCAAATTCAGAATATAAATATCAAATCAATGATACAAATCATGGAGATTTAGGAGGTAACAAATATTTTAAATATATTATCAATTGATTATGAATAACTCAATAGCGAAATCAAGAGTTTCAATTACCGTGAACTCAATTTGTTTCTAATGAATAAAATAAATGTATAGAAATAATTGTGCTAGAGAAGAAAGACTGAGCTCCGTTACTGAATTAACTATTCCATATCTTACAGATTAAATATCATAAAAATAACAACATAATGATTTTTGACTAATTACAAAAAAAAAAGAAAAGACAAACTTTTTATTATTTTACAGATATTCTAATTCATATTTTTCTACATGATTAATAACATTTTTTTTTTCATTCAGTTGTAATGAAATTTACACAAGAACAAATTGATGCTTTAGAAGCAGGTATTTTACTTTAATTTTTTTTTATCTTTATGTATTAAATAAAACATTTTTATTTAGCTTTCAATTGTACACATTATCTAGATGTATATCAACGTGAAAAACTTTCACAAAAAATGCATTTATCTGAAGCAAGAATTCAAGTATAAATTTCTTGTTTCTTAAGAAGAAATTAATTTTTTTTCTCGTTTATTTCTTCTTTCAAAATAAGCTCTGGTTTTCTAATCGTCGAGCAAAATATCATCGAGAAAATAAAGTAAAAGGCCGTCAACCACATCAATCAAAGCTGCCATTTCTTCTTCGTTTAGCAGAAAAAGTATACTCTTTAAAGTTTTTTCTGCTTTTTTACTGTTGTTTCTGTTTTTTGGGCGTTTTTCTGTTTTCTTTCTTCTAAATACTGTGTTATTTAGATATTCAATCAACATTTCCCTTCTCAAAGATCTTCTTTCATAATTACAAAAAAATTTTTTTGTCAATAATTACTAGAAACATACCGAGGCTGAATAATGTCTAATAAAACATGAGAAGTTTTCTCTTGAAAAAAATCCTGGCGATTCTACGAGATTATTATTGGGAATTGCTTAAGTTGATTTCATTTGGACGTGCATACAACAGTGTAAGCTAACTCACGCTGCATCTTTTATTTTCTTGGTTGATTTGCTCGGTTGTATGAATGGGTAGATAAAATCAAGCTAAACAACTTTCACTAAAAATCTAATAGAGTCGTCGGGAATTCTTTCAAGAGAAAAAAAATCTCATTTTTGTTAGACATTATTTAGTCTTGACACATTATTAATAGTTACTGATGTTATTGTTCTATTCTAAATATTGATAATTCAATAATAAACAGGATAATCAGATCCAAACAATTCTAGATGTTTCTATTTTCTCTCACTCATTCATCAGATTTTATCAAGTTGATATGTTTTTTATCAGAGACTGAAACAAGTCAAAAACAACCGCGACTCGGTTTCGATCTGAAGTCGATAGTACGGATATGTCTCATGAACCGATAGAGACCAATTAACTTGCAATCGATGAATCTTGTGCCTTAATAAAAGAATCTAAACAGCCTCAAACGAAAACTTCTCAAGGATTTATCGAAGATTTTTCCAAAACCCGAGTCCGTCGAGTCTGACTCAACTCGGCTTTAGATCAAAACTACAAACATTTTAATTCATACAAAAAATTTGAAGGTTATCGAAAGAAATTTTTATCAAAGTATACATCAGATACGCTTATCATTACACATTTCAGCAGAAATACTTTAATTTACCTCAAGATAAGTTCTAATTGATACGTTTTGACATTCATTTCTTGATTTGTAGCACTCTCTCTGCAAAATGATGTTACAGTTGCCGGTTACGGAAACGAAACCGCAGAAAATGGCAACAATGCTCTCCGAAATTCTCGGGGAGTGGTGGTGCTTGCTGATGATTCATTCTTTGTTAGTGATTTCGATAATCATAGAGTGATAAAGATCCCAGAGAGATTCTTGATGGGATCGATCGTCGCTGGTATAGGAGTTGCAGGTAATAGCACCCTTCAGCTCAGCAATCCATCCGAATTATCCATTGACACAACATTAAATAAATACGTAAACGATGACTATAACTCAAGAATAATGCTGTGGCGTCATAACTCGTCAACTTGTATCATTGTGCCAGGCACTGGTATTTATGGGAATACGATGAGCACTATCAACTATTCAGTCGGGCTAGCTGTTGACTCGTATGAAAATATGTACGTAAGTGATCAATTCAGTAATTAAGTTTTGAAATGGTCACTCAGAGTACACTGATAGCTGGCACGGGCGTACCAAGTAGTAGCAGTCAACAGTCCAATTCACCGTATGGTCTTTAACTCGACGAAGTCAACTCATATTTCTACATTGCTGAGAATGTGGGTGTGAGCATTGAGAAGACTAACTACACCCACATCCACACCGCCCTTCTCTTACTCCAAAAAAAAGAAAATATTTCTCTTATTTTAAATATATTATTTAAAATAAATTTCAATATTCCTATACTTCAATAAAACAATTCACTTTCAACAACAATTGATTCAAAACTATAAAGCGGTTAGATTAGATAAATTGTTCAAATTTCACCAATTTCTAATTGACGAATTGAATCGACTCATATCAAATAATAATAAGAATCAATTTTCTTTTTTTTTCCAAAAAGTTACTCATTGTTAATTAGTTCCTTCAATCAGATTATTACCAGATTCAGACGATTAACCGCAATTAATCTCACGATTATCGGACTAATAAATCACGATAAAATCGTCGATTGTGATGACATGGAATGTGAAAATAATATCTCTAATTTGTATATTTTCATTTTTTCCTATTTCTATATTCTTTGATGTACATGTATTGCCATCTATGAATATACCTGTATTATTTTTTTCTTAAATTCATCTCTTATGTATACACATTGGTATTGTAAAGTACGAATATGTCTGTATTTCCTTTTTTTTCTTTTCTATCTACCTCTTCATCATCTGATTTTTGATATCCATATTATGTAAAAAGAATACCTCAAAATTCTTATAAAAGAAATTACTATTATTAATTACTCATATTATCTGCTATATTACAATGCATTTCAACTATATTTATATTTTATATATTACGAAAAATCATAAACTATCATATATTACATTATTCATTCACATATTGTAGCTGTTATTATCGTTGCTTCTCATTATTTTCATATTGCAACGAAATGTATCCGTCATTATCATTGTTTTCATGATATAATAAATGCGGAAACTTCGGATTTAAATCCGAGAGTTATGTGTACTTCAAAAAGTGAATTAGACAGCTGAGTCATCCTAGAATGTGTGGATATCAAAATTATACTGGGAAACCTTTCCTATAAACTGTTTATTTCTGTTGGCTATTGGTCCATCAATAGGCCGTGGAGGCGAATAGAGCTCAAATTTGAACTCTTCGCCTTGATTAACCCTAAGAAAGTCGTTTTTTCCTATAACTTGATTTCTATTGGTCACTGCTCAACCAATAATATTTCGAGGCAAGTGGAGTACGGATTCGAGTTCTCCACCCCAGAAAACCTCAAAGTATCAACTCTATGATCGAAAGATAGAGCTCGAATTGTGAGTCAATTAGATCGTGGACAAAGACGTAACCCATTTCCCTTTAATTATCTTTGTAATAGGTGAGTTAGCGTTCTTGTTACTTTATGTTTTATATACCATTTTGTAGCTCGTGAAATTCTCTATCGAAAGGTATATAATAGTTGGGGTTTTATTTAACTATGATAGGAAAAGTTGTTTACGAAAGCCAAGATGGGTCAGTTTTCGCATAGGAAGCTATAGGAAAAAATGACAACTTTTGCAATAACTCACGAATGGCTCGGCCGATCATGCTCATCTTCGAACTCGACCGAGACATTGTTAAGACTGAACTGTGTAGAAAATTTCATCGCGATTGGACTCTCCTTTCAAAAGTTATCGTGTTAACGGCCGGACATACTGACCGATTCAAGAGTGTACTCACTTTTTGAGTACACAAAAATATCATCACAGAACATATTCTTTATGAAAAAAAGGACTTTATATATCGTGCAATAACACATCATTAATCAAACATAGAAACCTGCTATTATCGGACATAGAATTACTTGAATAAATATCTGTTACTTTTTATTTTACTTTCATTTTTTATGTCTTGTTTTATATTGTGTTTTTCTGTATTGTATTTATTGATATAAACTGAAGCGAAACGCTTTGGTATATTCTTGTTAAATTTTTTTCCTTAGTTCTCCAAAAAAAAGAAAATATTTCTCTTATTTTAAATATATTATTTAAAATAAATTCCAGTATTCCTATAATTCAATAAAATAATTCACTTTCGACAATAATCGATTTGAATCTATAAAGAAATCAGGTTGAAATTACATTAAACGTACTCTTTTCCGTCGTTTTGTAGAAAAACGGCGCAAATATTATATTAGCAAAAGCATGAAAAAAAAAGAAATTGCCAAGCGTAACATGCTGCAATGTAATATAATTGTGTAAATTTTTCTGTAGAACTGATTTAAAATGAACATTACGATGCGTGGTTTTTTTTGGAAGAAAAACAAGTACGAGTCATCAAATACTCATCTTAATGGAAAAATGTAAGTAAAAAAAGTTTTCATATTTTACATATCTTTACTGTATGTTGAATAATTTGTCTATTAAAGTTCAATAAGAATTTCATAACACTCTTTGTTCGCATAAACTTTTATAATATCCCAATTTAAAATGAAATTTTCATACTACATAGAATAAATATTCTCATAGATTTCGATATAGACATCAAGGAAATGCGTCGATTCTATTCATGATGTATTGTATAAGCTTAATTTATGTATATTTACATTAAATGTAAAATATTCTCAAAAGACTTGTTTTTTAAAAGAAAATCTACACTTTAGTGCACAAAGTAGCTACTTTGCTCGACATATATATATATATATATAAACGTCCGGAAAAAAACAGTTAGGCTGTATTTTAAATATATTTCCACTATAAAGCCACATTCGTTTAAAAGTAATTATGTATTCTGAAAGCTTATGGAGTTTTCTATCACCCTATTTTATTGGGTTTTAGTTTAGATCTATTGTTAGTGAATATTTACCGTCATTTACTTCTCTTGATCTCCCTCTATCTTTTCTTCTTTCTATTTTTTTTTGTTATTATACGTTAGTGCACGCTTATTCTTCTTCGCGTTTCCTTTGTTTTTTTTCTATCGACGATATATATATATATACCAGCGTCCAATCTCGGATCGACGCGATTCTGCTTAATAAAACATCAATAACTCGTTAGATAGACTTCAGATTCGAATGGATTTTGAAATTATACTCATATAACACCCCTTTAAATGTTGCAAGCATCCGAGAAGCAGCTCGATTTAAACTGAAAAACTTAATAACAGTTTTTTTTATAAAAGTTATCGTTCTGAAGAAATTTACTCATAACTTCTAAACCTTCTATTTCATCTCTGCAACGACAACTGTGCCAAATAAATTGACATCATGTGAAAATAATTTTAAAAAATCCATTCGAATCTGAAGTCAATCTAACGAGTTATTAACGTTTTATTAAGCAGAATCGCGTCGACCCGAGATTCGGCTGTGCACAAAAACACCTAGTTCGAATCATATCCAAGTGGTTGGCAACTTTAGGATGTGGGATGTGGGCGTGAGCGAAGTTCTTTTTCGTCCACATCCTTTTTGTCTGAGACATCAAGAGTACAAGTTAATTTTAATTTTAATTTAAAAAAAATAAAAATTACAAAAACAACCATTGTTTTTTTCAAATCAAAATAAAACAAAAAACGATATGGGGTGTGAGTGTGGGTGTAGGCGGGGTGTGGATTT